ATGTCATTTATCACTGACATGTATACGAGCACAACCCATTCCATCCCTAAAACTGATCTGACTTTTGAAGCACATTCCAGGTGTTTTTAAATCATCACTTACAAAATTGAAGTACGAAGAAATGAACTGTAAAGTTACTTTTAAGTAGCAGCTCATACAGTTAACAGTTGTAAAAGCTGAAACACCATAGGAAATGGTAACAGGCTCGGTTTCTGAAGCACAGTTCTACTTGGGAGCAGAGCATAAGCAGTGTGCCAACAAAGGAGAAAAACTGGAAGGAGGAGGAAAACGGAGGACACGGCAGAGCTGGAGAGCAACTAATGAACAGGTCTGTGAGACACGTGGCAAATCCAGTGAATGCTATAGTAAACACTTGGGCTGTGCACACACCATACATTTAAAGCCCATTGTTCCCCCCAAAAGAACCCTGGGAACAGTAGTTTACCCGTCATAGAACTACAATTCCCAACACACTTCACAAACTACAGGTATGCACAATTTTGGGGGATGTGCATAGAGGGCACACACCAGTGGCTTTTGGAGCTGCCAGGATCTCCGTGGATTCCAACACCTTTTTCTTCTGTTAAGCTTTGGGGTATCCCCCAAGGAGACACAGGGGAGGGGTCCACCAGAGGATACCTCGTCCGAGGCTCCCTCAAACCCGCAGCTCTGTGGCTCATATAGGGATGACTGAGAGATTTGATTCAGTTTGCTTTTTAAAATTTGCACTTACTAGAACAAGATGCAAACCGAAACACAGCGCATTGCCATATTTTGCAGTGCATTGCTTTATCCAAGCAATGTGCAAAACTACACATGCTAGTGTAAATGCGCCCAGGAATGCATATATATGTGAAAATAACATACAAATACGCGTTACTAAATGTTAGGGGAAATGGACATATGAGGGAAAATATGCCTTGCACATTATCCTTGCATGAGAGTCATAATTACATCTCTGAGTAGAAACTGGAATGTTCATATTCGGTGGATTGTCCTCCTTGATCTCTCTGTGGAAACGGCAATGACAACTTTGATATAACTACCGCTGCTCAAGCGATGCAAAAGGAAACCTCCAGAAGGCTTTGTGAAAACACTGGGCTCTCTGCAAAGATTTAGATGTACAGGGAAGATTATTCAGCTGGGGCATGTGTGTCCATAAAGGTGTGGTTTGTTAATAACACAGGGACAGTAGTAGGAGCCCCACATGCATGTTGCTCTGGGGTGACTATCAACACTCCTGTGCTAAACACCAGAGTGCTTTAATTCTGCTTTAATTGGGCAAACATGCAACTGAATCGCTCCTGCAAAACACTGACCACAGTCCCTTCCTCTCAGAATTGGCCTGCCAATCGTGATTGAAAACTTATCGCTTTTCCCTCCTGCTTTTGGCTTACGCCAATGACTTCAGGAGCTTGTCTTCACTCTTATTTCTTTCATGACTGAGATTTCCCAAGCAAAAGCATTAGCAATCAGAATAAGTGCTGCAAAATCTGAACTGTTACATAAAAACAAAACACCTTGAAGGAGCTCACTGCCCTTGCTTGTGAATTAACCTACATGCAGGGAGCGGCCTTCACGCCTCACAGTGGGGTGGTGTTCCTCCAGCCTCATGAGGAGCCTCTTCAGTGGGGCTGGTGAGAGTGGGCCTCGCCCTCCTAGGCCAGGTGGAAAGGGCCTTGTGGGAGCGGCCTTCACGCCCCACAGCCAGGCAATTTTATTTCATACCACACCATATGGCAGCCATTTTGTGTTTTGCTAGGTTCTCATTGGTAGCCAATTGGTGGACTGGCCCATGTAGCACTTTCCCAAAATTGGTCTGGCTCCGTCTAAGGCAGCTTCCTCTGTTCTTATCATATGAAATACCCCACTTTGTATATTAATAGGAGCACAGGATGTTCTGCATATATATCCTAAAAGGGGGGGGCGAATGTCATGAGCGATATGTTCAAATGTGTTTTTCCGCTTGGGGGGCTGCTGCGTCGCTTGTTCCTGAACCTTTTCTTCCTTCCCAATGCCCTGAAGATCCATTGCACACCTTGACTTGCATGAAACCTCCTCTCTCTTATTTTCTCAGGGAACCAGACTGGGAGAAGGAGGAATGAAGGAAAACAGAAATCCGGCCTGAGAAGGGAGGTCCCTGTCAAGAGAATGGCCAAGATCTCCTCAGGTGAGGATGAAAGGGGAGGCAGGGAAAAGCAAAGAGCCCCTGAAAACATCCCCCCACTCGGGAAGAACTTGTCGGCCAAACCCCTGCATGGAAGTGTATCTGCAGGAAGACGGTCAGCACTTTTCTCTTGGATGGGTGTCACTGAGCAGAGTTTTCAATGGAGATGGTGTATCCGGATTAAGTGGGGGAAACAGAACGGGAGAGCATTTGGGTGCGGAGGATGTCATGCAGATACAGAACTGGACTTGCGTCTTTGACGGGGTGAGCTCCCGTTGCTCGGTCCCTGCTCCTGCCAACCTAGCAGTTCCAAACCACGTCAAAGTGCAAGTAGATAAATAGGTACCGCTCCAGCGGACGGTAAATGGCGTTTCTGTGCGCTGCTCTGGTTTCGCCAGAAGCGGCTTAGTCTTGCTGGCCACAAGACCTGGAAAAAATCCTGGCTGCCCTGGAGAAATTCTTCTATGCAAAAGGCAGCCAGTTGGTTCCACCAATCAGAAAAGCATTTATCAGTAAAGTCCTCCCGATGTTACTGTATGGGGTTGAAATCTGGGGGTGGAATTTAAAAACACTACAACGGCTCGAGATCCTACAAAACTTTTTGCACGAAAGTCACTGGGTCTCCCCAAGGGCTCGGTTGCTGCACAGTTAAGAACAGAACTGGGCCTCCCCTCCATTGTTGCGAGAGCCCACATTAGAATTATTAGTTTTTATTGTAAATTAATTAAAGCCCCAGGTTCCCTACTAGCCAGACAAGCCTTTTTAACTTGTTCTTATAGCAACAAATGGTCCAAGGCCATGGAGACTATTACTGCACGCTACTCCGGGGGCCAGCGCTCCGGGGGCCAGCGCTGTCCGCAGACACTTCTGGGTCACGTGGCCAGCATGACATCGCTGCTCTGGCGAGCCAGAGCCGCACACGGAAACGCTGTTTACCTTCCCACTAGTAAGCGGTCCCTATTTATCTACTTGCACCCGGGGTGCTTTCGAACTGCTAGGTTGGCAGGCGCTGGGACCGAGCAACGGGAGCGCACCCCGCCGCGGGGATTCGAACCGCCGACCTTTTGATCGGCAAGCCCTAAGCGCTGAGGCTTTTACCCACAGCGCCACCCGAGTCCCCCAATAGCAGCGTATTGGACCTTAACTCTGCATAGGAAGGAAACAGGGGCGGGCTGTCTAAAATAATTGTGCCCAGAAAAGGGTGGTGGTGGACAGGAGAGGTTTAGGAGAGAAAGAGTGACCCCTCCCTTCCTCCAGCTTAATCTGCAGCTTACATTTGATGTAAAATGTGCTTTTCTTAAAAAACCAAAAAGCCAGCCACAGGGACAGTCTAAGGAACAATATTTTGGGGGGTGGGGCGATAGCTGCATTAGAGGTTCCACACTGGTAAGGAAAATTCGAGGTTGAGAGACTACTCAACAGCCCAGCTTGTCGGGGTACAGGTCCCCCCCCCATAGGTCCATGTGGTCAGTAAAAGAAGGAAATTCCAGCAAGCAAGCAATTTGGAGCAAAACAGCAGTCAGTAGCCTCAGAGCCTTTATTGTTCAACAGGTTCAACAGCAGCCAGTGAACCCAGAGCATGGGGCCACATTGACTTTGAAAACTTTCCCACCATATGTCAGAATACAGTTTGCACAGCATCATCAATACATCATTGCCACATTACTAACATGTCACAAAAGGGGAGGGTTACACAAGATGAGCAGAGGCAGCTATGGAGAGCACGAGGCTGGAATGTCAGGATGACGAAGGCAAGGAGGAGGATTTCCAAGACCATGAGGATCAAAGACTGAGGGGGAAGTGTCTGGATGATATTGTGGAGCCAGACTGGCAGGATGACAGAGTGGAGAGGCTAAGGGAGACATGGGGAAATGCCGTAGGTGGGAACTTCAGGCAGAAGCACACCAGCGAGGGCAAAGCTGGCTGGGAGTAGGGGAGGATAGCTTGGAAGGGGAAGGCGGGGAGATTGGAAGACAGAGTTCCCAGGATGAAAGGCAGCGGATTAGGGGTGTAGTGGCGTTGGTGAGAACTTGAATTGCTGAGTTTCTCTTTGTGTTTTGAATCTAACCTTATTTTTCAAATCTACTCCTTACCCTTCCTTTCACTAATGGTAACTTAGCCAAAATATGCATCACTTTCAATGGTATAAAATGTCTGCAGAAACGTGAACTCTGCACATGCACAGAGGCTATGTCAGCTTAAAAACAAAAAGAGAAAAGGGGGGAGAAAGGAGGTTTGGAGAGAGTGGACTGCAGGGATTGTGTACAATTCGAAACCATTGAGGGAGATCAGCTTTATGTATCCTTTGCTCATTGCCAAGTTCTTTTCTAACATACCAAGTGCTTTTCACAGGTGGGGTTTTTTTTTTTACACTTATCCTAAGTTATAAATATTCTGTTTTCATTTACTAATCAGTTTTTCCATGTTGTTTATGAAATGGATCGCGGCACAACCAACATTGTTTGGGGAGTGGTATTTGTTTACCTTTTTTACTTTACTTCTTATTAATTTTGTTATTGTGCCTAGTTCAAGGTACCTGCACCACAACTTTGAATTGTCATTCATTTTTTTCTTGGTATGAATTCGTTTTTCCATATTTTGCTATTACATCAAGAAACATTCTTTGATTTTCATTTAGGATGTTTATTGTTAGAATGCCAAAACAGAGAAGCTTCAGGTTACTTAAAGACTGTGTTTTTAAACATTTATTTATCTTTGGTTCCTCATAGATCAAGTTCCGTTCATTTTGGGAATATGTGTGGCTTTGATAATATTTTTGTATTCTTTAATAATAATTCTTTTCAAAATATGATGTCTTTGTGTCAAGTCCGTTTTCATCTGAAAATGTAATTTTTAACTGGAAATCTAATTTCTTTATTTTTGTTGTTTATATTATAACCCTGGTCTTCCTGTACATGTGGAGTAACTAACTGAAGGAAATCAAACAAAATTAGAAGATAATTACAATAATTACAGTATTTTTCGCCCCATAGGACGCACCGGCCCATAGGACGCACCAAGTTTTTTGGGGGGGAAATAAAGAAAAAAAAATTATTTCCCCCCCAGGCGCTTGTGGGGCCGGCAGCGGGGAGAAGCGCTCTCCTCCCCGCCGCCCGCCTGCAGTCCAGGTCCGGGGACAGCGGGATGGCGCCGTTCCGCCTCCCCGCTGCCCCCCCGACCTTGTGGGGCTGGCGCTGGGGCTCTCCTGAAGCCTGGAGAGTGAGAGGGGTCGGTGCGCACCGACGCCTCTCGCTCTCCAGGCTTCAGCGAAAGCCTGCATTCGCCCCATAGGACGCACACACATTTCCCCTTCATTTTTGGAGGGGAAAAGGTGCGTCCTATAGGGTGAAAAATACGGTATGTGGAAATGTGATAATAATGTTAAAATGAATAGCATGCTTAACATGCTACAATTTTATTATTTGCAGCTAACCAAGATAACTCCAGGAGATTTTTTAGGGAGGGGCTTTTTACCCCTTCCTTCTTTCTAATTCTGTCTTTTAAGTCCCTAAAAGGCCCTGCCCCCTACAGCATACACTTCTATAGATGTTGTTGCAGACGCGATGATGGGGAACCCTAAGCCCAACTCCTCCTGACTACAAGACTATTTATTACCTGCAGCAGCAGCAACAACAACAACAAAGACACAGGAGCCTGGCCACAACTCTTTCCTTTCAAAGGATAATGACTGAGATGGAGTGGGGCTAACGAAGGGGGGAGGAGTTGAATTGTAAGGGCATTTTTGTCACTTTTGAACCTCAAGACTGTGCTCCAGGATTGACAAGAAGATCACAATTGCCTCAAGATATGCAACTGATGTCTAATTAGTTTGTCGTGTATTACGTGTTATTTATGTAGGAATGTTGGAATATGTTTGACAGTGTGTTATTTCCACGGAAAGGAAAAGAATTTTTATGTGTAATTTTCTGGTTGTTGTTGTTTAATGTATAGTGTCTTATTGCTTACACCCCTGTGGAGGATTCTCATGCTTTCTAATGGTTCAGGCTATTGTGTAATCCACTCTTTAGATTTGATCACTGAAAAATATGGTATTTTGTTAGTTGCTCCTTGGGACTTTTTATCAACAAGTGCCTTTGAAATGTTTTAAATAAAAATTGAGGTGTACTTAACAGTATTCCCAGTAGAGGGCAGCAGTACATAACAACTGAAGTTGTCACATCCCTGGCCTCATGAGTCCTTCCTATTCATGTAAGTTTTTTATGATGAAGAATATACAAACAAGTACAGTGGTACCTCGGGTTAAGTACTTAATTCATTCCGGAGGTCCGTTCTTAACCTGAAACTATTCTTAACCTGAGGTACCACTTTAACTAATGGGGCCTTCCGCTGCTGCCGATTTCTGTTCTCATCCTGAAGCAAAGTTCTTAACCCGAGGTATTATTTCTGGGTTAGCAGAGTCCGTAACCTGAAGCGTATGTAACCCGAGGTACCACTGTAGAGCCATTTTCAGAAGGATGGATATGCTACTAAAGATTTACTCATAGCCAACAAGAGTTAAGAGTGAATCTCAGGTACTATCAAGGGCGCACCTGAAACATTTTGGAACCTTTTAGAAAGCATTGCACAAACGCTGATTATTAAAGCTTTTTTTTTTTTTTGTCTTCAAAAGCGTACATTGCACCAATGAACCTTCCTCATGCTATGCTTACTGGAGGGTTGAAAGACTGTGAATTAGGCCTAATCTGATGTGTTAAATTGCATGATACATCACAAGTGTTCTCCAATCAGCCCCCCCCCATTGAAATACTTGATTTTTTTCCAGTTCTGGATAGCTGCTTCCAATGATCAGGCAGGGCTCAAGGACAGGACTGGGTGGTCCAGGCAATGTTTCGTGAACTCCACGGCACTGAGAGCAGCATCAGAGAATCCAAACACAGCCCGCATCTCCAGCCTTGTTGCTACGACACTTCTCATGTGTTGGCCAAGAGGGAAAAAACCGATTTATTTATTTATAGGGGTGCCCTTTAAATAGTTGGGAGCACCTAACAGCGCAGATGTTGCTGTGTTCCCAACCCCACCCAGCCCACGTGGTCCAATGGTCAGGGTTGATGGCAGTTGTAGGAAGGCAACAGGCACAGTGCTCTCTTGGCAGTGCTTGATCGCAACACTAAACTCAGCACAGCAGCTTGTAGCTTTCAACTGAATATTGTAGGAGTCATAAGGCAGGACTTTTTTATTTGGGGAGGCCTTCCCCCATTCCCATGCTGTCACTTGAAGGTACTGGATGCAAAAGAAGAGAGGTATCATTTGTATGTACTTCTTGGTGTCGAGATACCAATTCCTGATCATCTGAAAACCCAAAAGCATTGAAGTTAAAAGGCAGAACTGCCAAGACATCGTTCAGAAGCCTCAAGTTCCACACCAGCTTCCTCGTGAGAAACTAAAAGGCACCGGGTGGCTACATCCATTGGTCCTGTGGCCTCACCTCTGCCTTATTTTCTACTCTGTCCTCAATTCTGTCTCCATGCTTTTATGCCTGTACTAAGCTCCCAGGTGGCTGCATATGGCCTCAATTTGAGAAATCATGATAAGGTATCCATTTGCTAAGAGATGGGAAAGTAGAGCTGTTAGGAGCTACAGCAAGGATCTTCTAAGAATGTATTCATCTTAACCCACTATTATTTCACACATCCAGGGAGAGACAGACCCAGTTTCTAAGCAGGGAAAGAATGAAAATTACCTTTTCCATTGAAATGGCAGAAAACAAATTTAGGCTGTACCAGATATAAAGGGAAATATATATACATAAGGGAAGAGAGAAAACCTGTTTCACACACATTGTTTCAAATGATCAAGGTACCCACTGACACTTTCTTCTTTTTAACCTTGACCGCAGCTAGTGTTGTCAGCAGTTTAATTGACAGAACCAAAGGCAGCTGTGGCAGAAAAACAGATCAAACCCTTATAGCAGAAAGCAATGGTTTTGTTTAGCTAGAATCCATTTGGCATTAATGTGGCTAAAGTAACGCAAACCGGGCAACATGTCAACAGGCATGGCAGCTAATAACTAAAACTGTGTTGAAGAATTTGGCTCGAATTTGGCAGGAGCTGTTGTTCCCTTTCGGTAGAGGTCAGTTCTGGCAAAACCTACTGGGGAAGAAAGTCTCTTCCAGGGCCTCCCAGTTTTTTAAGCCCCGGCAGATGGCTTCGTTTCACCATTCTCCATCTACCTACCTAACACATTCCAGGCACCTGCTACAACCCCATAGCTGCTCATATCAAAACAAGATCATTTGTCCACTACTCCCAGAGTTTGCAGGCACACCTGTGTGAACACGATATAACCCAATGGTCAAAACTCGGCAGGGTTAAAATCCTTCCCAACCCCTTATACCAGATTTGGGGGATCCAACTTTCCCAGCAACCCCCTCCTTCTGCATCCACAGGGTTCAAAATGGAAGCTGTCGCCTTGTCAACATCAGGGGTGACCACTGCTTCTCGCCCGACTTTTCTTCTTACAATTGCTTAGCTTACAGAGTAAATCTATACTAGCTATTTTTGCTCTCTCCCCATATAATTCCTCTGGGCTGTGGCTCAATGGCCGGACAAGGTTCGTGCAAAAGGACCCAGGTTCTCCAGCATCTCCAGGTAGGGTTGGCAAACACTACTGATATCCTGCATTGCAGGGGTTGGACTAGATGACCCTTGGGGTCCCTTCCAACTCTACAATTCTATGATCCTGGAGAGATGCTTTCAGTCAGTGGTGACTACACTGGGTAAGATAACCCAGTACTGTCTTACTCAGTTTAAGGCAGCTTCATAGGTTCCTTTGCTTTAAATAAGGCTTCCTTGCTTTTAACAGCAATTACCTGGGGTTGATTGTCGATTAAAATCCAAGTAACATTTCTCCCCACAAACCAAGTTGTCAGCTTATGCTACAAGCTGTCAGTTTATGCTAAGGTAAAGGTAAAGGGGCCCCTGACCATTAGGTCCAGTTGTGACCGACTCTGGGGTTGCGGCGCTCATCTCACTTTATTGACCGAGGGAGCAGCGTACAGCTTCCAGGTCATGTGGCCAGCATGACTAAGCTGCTTCTGGCGAACCAGAGCAGCGCACGGAAACGCGTTTACCTTCCCGCCGGAGGTATACCTATTTATCTACTTGCACTTTGATGTGCTTTCGAACAGCTAGGTTGGCGGGAGCAGGGACTGAGCAATGGCAGCTCACCCCGTTGCGGGGATTTGAACCGCCAACCTTCTGATCGGCAAGTCCTAGGCTCTGTGGTTTAACCCACAGCGCCACCTGTGTCCCAGCGCCACCCGTGTCCCGTGCATACAAAATAGTATGCATGGGTTAAAACTGGATTTGCCGTGATAAAGGGGTACCTCCCGGCCTGCCCACCCTCTCACCCCCGTTTAAAATAGCCCTGAATCCTTACAGTGTCTTGTGGGTGAAGGAAGGAAGTGGTGATAAAACCAAGAGCTGGCTGGCTGTGACATGGCAGCAGTCATGCATTTTTCTACGCCCATGTCGTACCTGAGTATGTTACTAAGGAACCAAGCAGCTTTCCGAGAGGTTAATGCAAAAAAGGAACCAAGCAGCTTTGCAAAGTTTTCATTGCAGGGTGCAACACACCTGAGTCGGAAGGAAGCTTGTAAAGGAGTCAGGAAAAAGGCAATTTATTAGTGCAGTCAACACAATTGAACAGCAAAACACAAAATGTGATCAGCAACTTGCGTACTGCCAGGAGACATAACAAAAACTCTATGGTACGTTTCAGAGCACAAGAGTGACAGCAGGACATCGAGGGGAGGTAAACAAGATGTGTTAGGAGAAAACAGTGAAGTCAGTTTCGCTCAAGATACAGTTATTAGATTGGATTAGCAGCTTTTTCAATTCCTGAGCGATAGGGACAGAGTTAAGAAATTAACTTCCAACCAGCATATTCCCCTTTCTAAACATGTCATTTATCACTGACATGTATACGAGCACAACCCATTCCATCCCTAAAACTGATCTGACCTTTTGAAGCACATTCCAGGTGTTTTTAAATCATCACTTACAAAATTGAAGTACGAAGAACATGAACTGTTAAAGTTACTTTTAAGTAGCAGCTCATACAGTTAACATTGTAAAGGCTTTTTATTGCTATCTTCCAGTAGATGGCGCCATCTACTGGAAACTGGGTGAAAGCGTAATGACCATTGTATGTGAAGGTAGAATTCACAAGTCAGTAAAGGGGCTCGTGCAGATCCTTAAAAAATAAAAATAAAAATAAATTAAACACTCAACCTGATATTGCTTTGCACAAAATTTATGTGGAGTTATAGATGGATGCCAATTCTTATTTAGCATTCATGACCATGTATTGCTTCTGGGTTCCACCATCAGTAATTTTACACTATACTTTTAGTGCAATTGCCCTGTCACTCCCTAATGCAAATAAGTCCTTTAAAAAGTGGATTTGTTGCACCAGAAGTGCTTTAATTCTGCTTTAATTGGGCAAACTGACATGGTCAGCATGCAACTGAATCGCTCCTGCAAAACACTGACCACAGTCCCTTCCTCTCAGAATTGGCCTGCCAATCGTGATTGAAAACTTATCGCTTTTTCCCTCCTGCTTTTGGCTTACGCCAATGACTTCAGGAGCTTGTCTTCACTCTTATTTCTTTCATGACTGAGATTTCCCAAGCAAAAGCATTAGCAATCAGAATAAGTGCTGCAAAATCTGAACTGTTACATAAAAACAAAACACCTTGAAGGAGCTCACTGCCCTTGCTTGTGAATTAACCTACATGCAGGGAGCGGCCTTCACGCCTCACAGTGGGGTGGTGTTCCTCCAGCCTCATGAGGAGCCTCTTCAGTGGGGCTGGTGAGAGTGGGCCTCGCCCTCCTAGGCCAGGTGGAAAGGGCCTTGTGGGGAGCGGCCTTCACGCCCACAGCCAGGCAATTTTATTTCATACCACACCATATGGCAGCCATTTTGTGTTTTGCTAGGTTCTCATTGGTAGCCAGTTGGTGGACTGGCCCATGTAGCACTTTCCCAAAACTGGTCTGGCTCCGTCTAAGGCAGCTTCCTCTGTTCTTATCATATGAAATACCCCACTTTGTATATTAATAAGGAGCACAGGATGTTCTGCAATATATATTCCAAAAAGGGGGGGGAGAAACTCA